AAATATATATATATATATATTGATATATATACTTCCTTGTGATAGTGGCCATGAGTTTGGTTGAGGGTAGGTCGTCACATTGTAATCTAATTAGTGTCCAAGTTGACGTTACTCGCTTATGAATGCATACATCCCGCCGGCAGAGATGAATGAGACATAGTCTAACTGGTTTTATGCGCCTATTTGTTATTTATCTGCATATTTACTTCGTATTTAATGCTAGTTTTATACATCATACATCATGCCATAGAGTCTAACTGCCGCCAGGTATGGTCCCATAGTAATGCCTGAGTTGGAGTCCGCTTACGCGCCGAAGAAGGTCTATAGCCGAGCCTTGCGCAATAAGCACATAGAGAACATCACCGTCAACAGGTCTCAGCAGTGGAACAACCGCTTTCCTTTCAGTTACAGGAACGCACACAAGGTGTGTACGCCGATGTGATTGCTGTGGGTTTTGGAGTATATTTCATGACAGCGCGGGCTGGTTGAGATATTTAGTCTCCGTGTGTGGTGTTGCGGTGGTAGTTTTGTTGGTCATATCACTACACCCGAGCGCAGCAGTGTAACAACATATTTCTGTTTAGTTGCAGGAACTCGCACAAGGTGCGGGTATTGTTGGGATTGCTTTGGGTGGTTTCGTATTGATCCTATACTTACTAGCTAGCGCGTTCTAGTTGAGGTGTACAGCTTGTCTTGTCAGTGTGTGTTTTGCTGTTGTGGTACTGTGGGTATATTCACCACACATGCTGTGCCCGGTAATGTAACAATCGCATTTCTTTCAACAACAGAAACTCGCACAAGGTGCGTGTACAGCATTGATGGCTGTAAGTGTAAAGTAGTATTCTTGCCCGCTGGTTGAATCCTGTGTGTGTGTTGCTGTGAAGTAGTCTGAGTCACCACATACTAAGCGCAGCAGTCCCTTTCAACTCACACTCTATGCCTGCACTGTTGTGCTGGTCCTGACTGTAGCTACATATGTTCCTGATTCTTATGTGTTTGGTCTAATGATTCTGTATGCGCACACTTCACGGGTTGTGTAGCTTTTGTGATACAGTTCTGATTGCGGCGGTGTTCGGTGTGGCTCAAGTTTCTGTGCTCTTTCAGGAAGATTTCACACATTGTGTACTGGTGCCTATGGTTGTCGTGTGCGAGATGCTACTATAAGTGTAAGCATGGTCCTAACCATCGACCATAATGGATAGTCGTGGAACAGCCGCTGTTCGTTCACGTACGTACAGCGACCTACCCTGCACGATAGTTGTGTGTTTATCTGTTGGCTTTGATGGCCCGACCTTGTTATGGCCGGCGTGCAAAGCACAGTGCTTTAAGCATTCGCCGAAGATAGCTGCGCTCTTCCGTAAGGGCTGTGAATTTCGCTTTCTGTCCTGTTATTTCGTTGACGTTTAGTTATAAGGGGATCCCATGAAGTGTTTGTGTTGATTTGATATGTGTTATTAGTTATTAGTGTATGTTGTTTAGACTAGGCATGTCATTATTTGTATGCGCTGAATTGCACATAAGGCGTGATTGTTGCAATCGTAGTGGAGAATATGCCTCCTCCAGTTCTGGCAAGCTATCCACTGTTGGCAGGGCGTTGTTATATGTTATGATGGATGTGGTTGTAGGTGTTGATAGTCTTAGCAGATTCTTAATGGATCCATGAAGCCACAAAACGTGTTTGGGGATTTACTCGTAGCAGAAATGTTCGTCTTTGTTAAAGTTAAGTTCAAAATTTTATTCCAAAATTTTCGCACAAATTTGTATGTTAATGCCGGATGTACTGTTGAAAAAGATATGTACTTTCCATGTACACCTTTAGACACTGTACTTATATTACACATGTACGGATGCTTCATATACAGTATACATGATAAATAGACTGATTTTCAGACTTGACTTGTTTACCACAATCTACCAGATCTACGGAACACCCATGATGGACGTGGCCATGGGGGCTAAAACCGTAGAGGAATACCAAAACCTGATGCGTGATCTCCTGCATGAGAGAGTCAAAGTCACGCGACTGGATCCCACAAAGAAAGGGAGTGTGAGAGATACAAGCACTGTTAGTGTAAATACAACACTACCTCCGGAGAACACATCAACCTTACACTCACCAAGTCATCAGACTGGTGCGGATATGTCAGCTAGTAATAATGAATCCGTATCACTTGCGCTGCAGGCCGTAGAGGTGCAACAGCCCACACCGAAATCAGATACGAAAAAAAGATATCAATCAGAATAACCAATTCTGCAACTGGAACTGAAACTCGATGATCACTCACAACCGCCAAAAGTAGAAACAAAAACGCAGACACCAACACAGATACAGCCAAGAGGTTGCTTGAAAGAAGCTGACGAAATACCTAGAAATAATTCGAGGGCGAGGTTTAAAGTACAAAGTACGAGCAAGGGCTCTGAAGACTTTGAAGCCACAGCTCAATATGGTCGTGGGCCGCAATCACATCTGTCAACCCCTGGAGTCACGAAACCTGGAATTAGTGAGGAGGGTTCATCGGCAGTGATAGTGAGAGCACACACAATTCACTTTTTCAACCAGGGGGACAAGGGGTTGCCAGAGATAATATACGCACAGTATGTGAGGATACGACTACAGCTTCTTCAGATTTGCGGCAAAATGATACAAGCAACCCATCAACATCCACGGCTGGAATTCACAGAAACATGTGGGGGGACATGGTAGTAGCCCCGACCTCAAGTATGGAGCGCGCGGACACAGACACAGGTCAGTGTCCTATTGGACACAGGTCCTATCGCTTGGTATGCCGACTGTTCTACCTACTCCAATTGGGGGCTTGGTGCCGACCGGTCACATCATAGGCAACCTGGCTGATTTAGTGGGCGATGAAATATAGAATTCTATATGTAGGCGCCAGAAGTATAAAAAATTGAATCATAGAAACAACCTACTTGGTAGTGGAAGCTTTGTATTCATATGGTACCGTATCACGGTGTCTCTGTGTACACGTCAGCATAATTCTTTCCATTTCAAGTGTTAGCGTACCTTTTGTTTCGGGCAAAGAAACGAAAAAACTACAACTTAAAATACTGATATTGTTGGCTGATAGACATGCCTATTCAGTATTCACCCATACTCCCCCCCCCACCTAAACAAACATGTCCACATACAGATATACATGCCTATTCACACAAACTACATACACATTCCTATCCTCATTCGCAAGCGCTACACATGCATATTCAGTCCGGATACATATTGACGTACAGATACACATACTCATACATATTCACATGCCCATAGATATGCCTATTTACATACACCCACGCACACGTATCCACATACCCATAAACACGTCTATTTAGATACACATTCACATATACATACCTATCCACAAACACATACACATGTCTATAAACATACACATTCACATTCACATGTACATACGCGTCCAAAAACACATACACATGTCTATTCATATACGCATTCGTATCCACATTCACATGTACATAAAATACCCATCCACAAACACATACACATGTCTATTCATATACACATTCACATACACATTCACAAATACATAAAATACCCATCCACAAACACATACACATGTCTATCCATATACACATTCACTTACACATTCACAAATACTTAAAATACCCATCCACAAACACATACACATGTCTATCCATATACGCATGCACATACACATTCACATATACATAAGATACCCATCCACAAACACATACACACGTGTGCATATATGTGGGAACTCCGGGAAATGGGGAACTTGGGGAACTTGGGCTTGAAGTTCAAACGTTGTTGCATGTCGAATCGGCTATTATTTAATTCGAAGAAAAAAAATTCGTGAAATCAGCTTTTGTTTTAATATATGCATGTATGGCTACGAATGATTACATATGTTTGTATATATGACATTATGTATTTGTTTTTATTTAGTAAAAAAAACAATATGTATTTATTAGATGCAGGTTTCTAGACCATATTTATAAACGTTAAGCCATTTATAAACCGAAGAAAAGACTAAAAATACGTTTGTTGAACTTTTAATTTTTTTATTTGTGACCCATACTGTTTTTGTTTTCGTTAAAAATGAGACGAGGTCAATACTCATTACTGACATACCGTCAGGCGTCATGAGGCCTGAGGTACTCAAAAGTTTGGGTTGGCTCATATTATAATAAAGATATAAATAGAACTTCTGGAGTAACATACTTTTACTGAATGGAGTTAAACACATGATTGATATAAATTACATATTGATATAACCGATAAGGCGATACATAAACACGTAATACTAATTTAACGTACGTGCACTGTGCCCTGTGCCCTGTGCAGATTCTGGCATTCAGCAGAACGCAGCAGTGGCTACTACCCACATACTCTACTACTACTACTAGTAGTATCTATGTACTGCCTACTCTCTCTCTATGCTCTACCGAGTCTACTGTAGAGAGGGAGAGTATGTACAATTGTACATACATATTACACAGTGTATTAGTTCAGATTAGTGATTACATACTGTTTTAGTTTTCAGTTTTATGACTGATATTTAGTGGAACTGTGAGAATTGAGAGACCTGTAGAGTACTCAGTACACTCAGACCTCAGTACAGAGTACAGAGTGCAGACCGAGTTCTCAGTTCTGACTGCTCAGTAATAACTATGGACAACAAAGTACGAAACCACAATTCACAAACTTGAAACCAATGAAACACCGAAAGTTTTGACACCATAAGGCATAAAATATAAATTGATTTCACATACATTGTAAGTCTGAAACACTGATGAGTATGACTAATCTCAGTGATCATTGATCAAGTGATCCACTGATCCACAATTCCACATATCACACTGGCACGCACCATTGATCAAGTGATCCACTAGCTTTTTAGAAACGAATGTGATACTATAGTTCAGTGTTTCTTTTTTGTCAATATTTATTGCTATGAAGGGTGAGTGAATCATCTTTACACACACGAAACTTTCATTACAATTGTTCCATATGTAAAATTGTAAATAATAGCCGACTCTATGTATGTGGCTCTCTACTACTAGAGAGAGGGCCCGAAGCCAGGGCATGAGCCACGTGAGGGCGAAGGGGGGCAGCCGGCCAGGCCGCCAGGGCCGAGGACAACAGGTAATTGGCCAATTGGGTATCTATAGTATGTACTATGGTGCATGTTGAGACTTTAGCGTAGACACTACTAGACACAGTCATTCTCTCTCTCTCTCTAGTAGTGTGAGAGAGAGTAGAGTCTCTCTAGACAGTGACATGCACAAAAAGAGACTGATGACAAGAACGAGAGAGAGTAGTGTCAGAGTGTAGACTGCGTTTAGAGTATTTATCCAAATACTACATACTACTAGTAGTCAGTACATATTAATATCTACATTCCACAAGATTCCAAGTCCCAACACTGCCAACAGTTCTCTGTTCACTGTTCACTGTTCACCCGGAGGTGGTGCATACATAGGGCGCCAGGCCGCCAGCTCGGCCGCCAGGCCGTCAGGGCCAGAAGATTTATAAAAAGAGAAAACAAACAATATAACAAGTACATGTGTACACTTGTACAGACCTGCTATAACTTTTAGTAGACCAAATCCGTCACTACTATCATATGTATGTATAAATAAGAAGTCTGGTCTTGTATCTTTTCATTGGTCGAGAGGTCAAAGTTGTGTTGACCTGATTTCTGCTCGAGACCCAAATCCAGAGGGCCAGCAAAAAAAAAGTTCAATTTTTTTAAACGTTATAACGGATATAATGTGATCTGAAGGGCTTATCAAAGTTCTTTCATAGGACTGGTTCGTATTGTGAACATGATACAAACTTAAATGTTTGGACCCGGTTGTTGCACCTATGAGCATACAAAGGACCGCATATGAAATAAAGGTTGAACGAAAACGTATCTTTATTTGATTTATAGAAAACTCATGTGACTCACCCCAGACCCCAGTGCCCAGGCCCCAGGGGTCCAGGGCCTCAGAGGCCAATCAGAGAGGCAGAGAGCCAGACAATTTACACAAATGACAAAGCTCAGTCGCTCGGAGCTGGTATTAAAATAGACTTACTTTTGTTACAAATATGTACTCGAAATTGAAATACCTCTACTTCATAGTTCATTCTGGTCTTTTGGTTTGCTGTATTTATTGTCTTTATAAATATACAATAGTAGAGAGTTGGAGTAGCCTTTCTATTTTTGAAAGAGCGCTTGCTTTGAAAATTAAAATAATAAAAAGAGAGCAACGAGCTGTGGCCTATGAGAGAGGTGAGGCCCGTGAGAGGCTCTGGGCTCTGGAGTCAGGACTCTGGAGTCTGTGGACTGTGAGTGACTGAGTGTGAGTCCAGAATTCAGAGTTTCAGACTCCTGTGGTCAGTCACCAGTCACCACTCACCCACCAATGTTCATTGTTTACTGTTCAACTGTTCAGTGTTCACTGTGTCTCGTCATCGGACTCTCGGAGTCAGATGTAAAGTTGACCCAGAACACAGCCCTTCCAGTGGCAGAATACGAAAACAGTAAACATATGCCGTTATTTTTTGCCATTTACTATAAATAATACCACCTACCTGCTTACAACATTTAAACCGATAGTCCCTGGATGTAATATACACTCCCAGGCCAGCTCGTAAAACATTTTCCATTTAGCGTACGTAACAAATTGTATCGAATTAGCCAGAATGCCAAAATTCACATCAAGCTGTAAAAATGTACTTCAGTTTGAAGCACATGAGAATAAAGCGACGCCGGACGAAGTTTCTCGCAATTTAAGTAAATTCGTCAGAAGCGCCAGTGCGTCATCTGTAAAGTCAGATGTGTTACAGATTAGTTCAACGAACTTATCCACGTGTAGTGCAAGTATGGAGTTATCCGAATACCGGTCCGGAGGCAAGCTAGTGGAGGTCAAACAATATAGCATTGAGAAAACTGAAGACAAAGCTGAAGATGCGCGGGCAAAGCTCGCATGGTCGTGTACTGAACATGAAGGAACGTCATCACTAGACAACCGTTGTGACCAGGCCTCACATCACGCAAAGAAAAAGTATTCTCTCCTGAGAAGCGTATTTGGCGTTTGATCTCTTGTTGGAAAGCTAGGAATGTCTAACCCCCCCTATGTGTCGTACCAGCATGATAATGTCGTGGGAATTGCCATCAGATGGCACGTGCCAATATCGATTCATAAGCTGTCCTGGTATTCATCCATTCAAGGCACAGCAATACGCGAAGGTGCCAATTTGATTTTTCTGAAAAAGATCACAACTAAAGAATTCTTATCATTTGATACCGATATCGTGTGTACATTGCTGTTATCAACCGTATATCGATCCTCTACTGGCAGCATTGCGTTCCACCCGGCTTGGAGTATATACTGCAATATCCACTGGTCAAGACATCAATTCAAGGACACAACACAGGCTTCACCAATTGCATCGTTCGCTATCGACCTCGTGCGTAGATCGAACCGAGTACCTCTCGAAATACCTAAACTAGCACAAGGTGGTTCGAAGTACCAACTAGCAATGGCACCGACACGAATAATGAGAGACGATAGATAAACGACAACGCAGAGCTTTATAAACCAATGATAAAATCTCCGCCCAGCACCCATTTGATACCACGGTATGAATGCCCAGTCGTTGCACAATGACTGTTGAGGTATTACTACACGTCGGCAAAACCTTGTATGACAAGTTATATCTAGCTGATTAAAATCCAACTTCAATAGTGAGTATTCGTATCTGTTATTTTAATTTGTGATGTACCTCGTCAAAACATGTTCGACCTCATCGTTTGTCAACTATTTTGATGTGATGAGATGTTGACAAGCAGCGATGCTGTAAATTAAACTGATGGGGTGGAGTGGTGTAAACGGGGTCGAGACTGAATCGGTGGCTCAGATTAGCGAATCCATTCGAAGCAGGGCCACTATAGCATGGTATAGTAAAGACTATATTCTCATGTATAGATCTGAAGTTTTACTGAACTATCAGATGAGGCGGCTGTTGTATCCACATTCCTTGATTCTACTCAGCGGGCATGACCAGCACCTTGGGTCTTGTAACGTACCCAGTCACCTACAGCGAACGCTGGCACATCCACACGATGCAAGTCAGCCGCCCGACGCTGAGACTCCTGCGCACGCCGATCGCGCTGCACTGCCACCGCATCACGCACCACAGCCTCCGTACCTCCAAATTTTTGATGTACACGTATGTGCGTGCGTGACTACAGATAGCATGAGCCAACTTCTATCTCGGATCAGGTGAATTTGGAGGACATACCTGTGCCTAGCTACGTATTGACTGGCCTTTATGGACTGGTCTCATCAATCCAAAGCAGTGGACTCACAAATTTTCCATTTGAACTCTATTCCCGACCTGTTATACAAGGAGGGCATGCAGATTCGCGGAAAGCACCCATTCTGAATCCAATAGCGTACATACCACAAATACATTAAACACGAGGCAACGGTTTTCTTCTCCTCAGGAATATGAAGTAGGCGATATGTTAACGGACAGTAGTAGGTTGGCGTGTTCGATATATTCGCGTAGTATTATTTTTAGGCAGATCCCTCAATACACAATAATGGATTATAATGGACGTAAATGTACAAACACCCCAATGACTTGATTGCAAGAATTTGCAAGTAATGATCGTGATCTGAAATGTGGTTTCATGGAAGCAGCACAAATTTCTGTTAGAGATTTTGTGCTTCAATGATTTGTCCACATACCGTGGAGACCTGTACTACTGGGGCGACTACATTCTAGAGTAGCACAGCATAAGCCAACCTACACGTGCGATGTTCCGCACTGCCGCGATATTGGATATAGATTGTGATATCGTTGTGCCGAGTACGAAGGATTTAATCACACTTTTCAGACAGGAAAAACAGCGGCACAGTGTGGTTTGGGTACTTAATCGCCGATCGGGCGGAATTATGGATAAAAACATTTGAGCATGGTGACCTGCAGTGGGTATTTGCATTGCCACCTGATTACAGTTGGTAATAGTTTATGTCGCTACCTATAGCACTGGTTCATCCCACCGCATGACGCATCAGTCTCCCTCAACTTTACTTCTCCCCTTGGCTGTATCTAAAACTATTCGTATCTACAGTCTTCTGATTATATCCAATCACTTCGGCTGTTGTGTTCTTGATTGTGGGTTGCCATACGCAGCGCTGCATTTCGCTGTATTCCTCGTAGAGTCTGCCTATTTGCTTTAACCTTTTTACAAATTGAGTGCTTTCTAAGAAGTGTTCGCCGGACGACACTCGCATCACCTCTGCCACATAAGCAACTAGAGCATAAGATTCATCTGACAGACAGTTATACCGCAAAAATAGAATGGAAATGCAAAACCAGGCCACAAGCTAAATGGTTGGACCTCAGTCTTCTGATGCCATGTTCAACAGCTCCCCGTACAGAAAGGGTTCTACTCTCACAGGTACTTTCCAGTGGTTGATCAAAGCCGTCGCCAGAATCGCTTTCGTCAATAAAAAAAATTGTCAACTGCAACACGCACACAATTTTACGTCCAGCCTGCCTGAGATTTGGCCATTCACGAAGGCAGCCGGAAGACTATAGCGATTGTTTGCGGATTTCGTACACTTCGCATGCGCTACTCTTCACACTATCGGGGTGACGGTCACTATCACCATTGCCAATCCTGCCAGTAGGCAGACAGGTGCGTGGGTGATGCCAATCCATACCGATCTCGGAATGCCGGGGATGGGGCATGTGATACAGTCAAAGCCTACCCAAACCCGTAAAGGACATTTACCGATCCGTCACCAGTAAGTATGAGCTGGTAGCAGGGCATGTCTCCCTTAGGATGATCGATGAACCCCCCACGGCTGTAGTAGCAGCGCTTTCACACCACATCCACCACACATCCGCGCTCGTTCTGCGGTGAAAAGTGAGCAGGCTTCTAACACGCATGTGCGGTTGCAAGACTTTCACTCACTCACGAAACGGCTCATTGCGGCTCTCTCGCATGCGTGCGTTTCTACACGAATTTGTGGCTCGCGGCGGACGGCAGACTCTTCTTTGTACACGTGACAGCCCTATCAGTCCCGTCCATACATTCGCACCTGCAGTATTTAATCCCAAGACACGCACACACCTTCACATGGCGCATATTGTGCTTCACTCTAGCTGTAATACTGGGACATTTGTCCCTTTAAACTAGCCTTTCTCTGCACATTTTTGCTTGCACCCCATGCCCCATGGCCATACATTTACACTCGGTGTATCTGTTTTAAGTTGGCGCATTCATATCATCCCTTTGTCCCTATATTTCCTGAAGTCTAAGCACCTGCCCTGCTTGCGTAGTTGAGCCGATTCACTGATGTGGCCGTTGGTTCGTTCAGGGTGGAAAACTACACTACTACACCTCCATCGGGAAACACGTCTCCCGTATAATCTATGCACAGAGATTGCTTTCTTTTGGTGATTGAGCGCTCTCCAACTTACGCCACATACCAGACAATGCATTGCAATCATACCAGCGTGCGTCCCAGCGTATAGCCCATGCTAATGACGGACACGCTTGCTTGCTAGTGCCTGTACGCATCATTAACTAGAACATGTGTAAGTTTTTTGCCCTAGTTACGTATATGTCAAGACACAACCCATGCTGAGTGCAGGTGTGTTAGGTTGTTTGTGTCTGTCTGTGTCTCTAATTACAACACGAGCAAAGCAGGGTCTTGCCCTAGTTTTGTATATGTGGAGATATAACACAAGCTAATTAGGGGCCTACTGGTTTGGTTGTTTCTATACGTATCTCTATTTCAAACACGTGTAAGTTCTCGCCCTAGTTGTGTATCGGTGTAGATGTATCTCAATCATCTACGAACAAGGTTGTTTGTGTCTATGAGCATTCTCTACCTAGAACACGTGCAGGTTCTTGCCCTGTTTCCGTATCTGTGGCGAGGAGCCGCCGTGGCCGGTTCCATCGCGTACTACAGACTCTCTCCGGGGTGATAGGAAGTCACTGCCGTGCGGAGACGAATCTACGTGTTGGGGAGATATTCGGAATTTGTCCAAGGGTAAATCTTCCATGTCTGATTGGTTGTCATAGAAATAGAGTAATCGTGATTGGATGCATTTAATAGAGGCTATTACAATGATGGGTATAGATGGAGATAGCGGATAAACCAATCACACAATTTGATAAGAACATACCGACACACCGGTCTATATATATATATATATATATATATAGATATAAATAGATAGGGTATATACATATGCACATGGACACGTATACGTCCATGTAAAACTTTTGCACCTTATGATACCTATACATTAAGTTATCTGGTTCTCACATAGTATTATAGCCTGCGTCTAGTTTGGCCTACTACCTCCATAGACGGGTTGCAAGACACGCAAATATATATATATATATATATATATATATATATATATATATATATATATGTATGTTTATATATATACATATATGTTTATATATACGTATATATGTGTATATGTATGACTATATCTATCTATCTATCTATCTATCTAAATGTCTATGTATATGCATATGCATATTTATATATATAGATAAAGTTATATATAGATCTATAAATACACACAAAATGTGAGTATAAACAGCTATATATATATGTATCAATATAGTTGTTTTATATATAAACTCACCTGTGGACGAGGCATTGAAAATAACCGGCGTGTAGTTCGGCCGGCCACCCATTGTTGCCTTCCGTAGAGCACCAAAAAGAAGCGGAACAAACAGCAGCGTCAAAGTAGTGGTCCCTGTATGTGCCAATGATCAGGTCAGCTTCTATACTCGTGTCAAATATGCGTGGGAATATACGTATATAAACCACAAGTGTACAATAGGATGTGCACCTGTGTGTGTGTATGTGTGCGTGCGTGTATATGTATGTGTGTGCGTGTGTATGTGTGTGCGTGTTATGACTTATATACCGCATGTGCGTAAAATGTGGAACCAGATTTAAGCACCGGAAGTCTAGACATACAGAAAATACGCGTCTAACTCCCAGCAAGCACGCGGTCAAATACTTGTGAACACCAAACACGTAGAATGTGTGGCATATGTAGTAGGCCCTGAATAAACCTAAACCTATATAAACGAATACCGGTTGCCTAGACATCCGAGACATCCGCATGAATACCTCGAATCCCGTATGTTTAGGGGTTAGGGTCACGGATACTCACCTAAAATTAGTACGTAAACATCTATCATATGTAGTAGGCTCTGAGTGAGCACAGCCCCACATGAACGCACACTCACCTAAAATCAGGAAGTAGACTTCTCGACTGATGATCTTGAGTGTCTTACCACGACTGCGGGGGCGAAGTGTTCAGAATACAACAGTTGGGGTTAGCCGATAAATATTATTTCAAAATAATTCGTAAAGAGAAGGGGCCGTTGTCAATTTTATACCGCCATAGCACCACCTCAGAATCATCGATTGGAGCCTAGAACAGCCAGGGATGTATAGCTACCAATAGAACCTAGCCATCCCTAGTGAACTGATGGGCGGCATTCTATGTATCGTTTTAATGGTATGACAAGACAGCGAGCAATCAACTGCTCATGCTACGTCAGTGCTGGTCACTTAACTTGTCAGCACCTCACGAAAATGTACCTGACCGAGACACATACTTAGAATGAAACATAGTATATAGATATATATATATATACATATACATATACATATCATACATACATACACACACACATATATATATATACATATATACGCATACACACATACACTTAAACATATACATAAACACACACACACACACATACACACACATATATATATATGCAATACGCTTATACATTCCAGAAACCTTTACAATTTCCTATTCAAAACAGATTCGGGCTTAGGATCGGCCGATAATCGCTATATGATGCATATTGCAGGTAACATTACACAATCCAAAATAATATACCTGGCCAGAATAAATGCAAATTCGGAGATTTGCGAAAGACCCAGAGATGCCAAAGCTGCCGGTCGAGCAAGTTGATGGAACACACGGTGCAGTACAAAGAACCCACTCAAGAATTTGATACTCATGCAACCTGATAAGAGAATAAATTCGGATTAAAAGTTCATTCAAATCCCAATGCAACTACGTCAAGTTTATTGCTTATGAAAGGGTAGTACAGCACACAGAACAAACACGTATACATACATACAAACATGCCCATAAATATGTGCATGTATGCTTATACATATATATATATGTATAAATATATAAATATATATTTATATACATAAAAATAAAAATAAACATATATATTAATATATATACATATACTTTGCCACACTACACACAGCAGGAAGGAAGGCCACTCATTCACACGTATATACCTATCGTCATCGCCACTAGCACCTTCCATTGCGCGACCATAAAAGAGGGATATACATGCAGTCCTATCGTTCCAAAGAACATGCTCGCAAAAAGGTCCCTCACCGGTTCAACTAGGTGTAGGATTTCCTGTGTAGAGTTGACGTATATGGGGAGTGAGAACGGGAGAGCATATACGAACACATACTAACACATATACATACATAAATGCATACACATATACATACATAAATGCATACATACATACACACACGCACAGATAAATCAATACATACAAGTACAAAAATATTAAAACATACACACATACCGAACACACAGATCCATACATGCAAATAAAGAAATACTAAAACATACATACATACATACAAACATACAATTACAATCACACACATAATAGATCCATACATACAAATACGTAACTACTAAAACATACATGATAGCACACACATCCAAAGACATACATCCAAACACATACGTACTAGCCCCATACATGCATACATACTACATAAATACATACTAATACATACAATGACATACGAACATATACATACACACGATGATACATAGTTTGAGTGGAGGTGTGTCAAATATGATACTAGGTTTGTGATGAGGGTAGACACATGCGTACACGCACAGATATATAGAATTTTTTTCGTCAGCCTCTTAAGTAAAATTAGGATCTCCAGAGCGAAATAAGTACAAACATGAACATACATGCACAATTGCACGTACACGCACATACAAAAATGCACATACACGCATATAAAAATATGCACATACACGCATATAAAAATATGCACATACACGCATATAAAAATATGCACATACAAGACCCGTCTCTCAGTACACAAGAAACAGAGATGTCCCAGCTCAACCACAACACAGTGCACGCAGGTGCCAGACAGATCTCGACTCAGAGAGACGTACATAAAGCATACATGGCTGTTGGCAGTATTCCTGTTGACCGACGACGACGATATGAGCAAACCAGCCGTAAAGCAGCCAATCTCTAGACTCAGCTTCATATATTCAGCGAAGAGTACATCCGCCATGCACAGGAACAGCAGGCCCAGGAGATGCACTTCGGCGCTTTTGGTAGCTGTAGAAGGATGTGTATGTGTCAATGGGTGCGCATGTGTGTATGTACATGTGTGTATATGTGTGTGCACTTGTGTATGTGTATGCACAAGCTTATTTATATATATACATATAAATATGAATATGAATATGAACATGAATATGAATATAAATAATATAAATAATAATAATATGAACATGAAAATGAATAAGAAACTGGTCCAAGATATAGGGTGATAACGAAGAGGGTCATGTCTATGACTACCGCGGAGAAGGCCTGCACACGCGAGTACAACACTCCCCAGATTTGTACCTAAGCAGCACATTTTTTTTTAAACATACAGCTACATACGCTTCAAGTACCATATACCAGCCACACAAACCAGGTCATTACAAGGTGTGGGATCAGCATGTCAATTATACGGAACATGACCATACCTACACACAAGTTGCTATATCCTAAACCCTACACCCAAGATACAGTACTCTAAACCCTACACCCAAGATACAGTACCCTAAGGCCCTACACCCGAGATACAATACCCTAAAGCCCTACACCCGAGATACGCGTAATGTACGTCCGAGCCACTACCCCACACACCCTACCACACATCGGAAACGGCAGGCATAGGTTCATCACATACAAGCTAAACCCTACACCAAAACCCTAAAACAACAAACCATAACACACAGACACACATTCGATACTTACCGCGTATCAGCCACAGAAACCGGTCCATGACTAAGTGTGAGATGAGCATGTTGACTATGCTGAATATGGTCATATCCTTGACCACGGTGCAGAACGCCCAAACGGCCCGAGACCCACTCATGTCACCCTCCAACAACGGCAGCAGAGTCAGGCACAGGCCAAAGTAGACATCCTGCATGACCAGAATACCAATCATGGTACGGCCGTAGGTCGTTTCCGTCTAGACGCCAGGTGCGCAAACAAACCATGTTATATCAACACAATCCAATACCTTTCAGGCTGGTTTGGCGGACATGTGTGAGTCTGCTTATTTGTATAGAGGAGAGATACTCCTTGATCGCAGATACGCATGAGAGTAGAGCATAACCAGAAAGAGACT